ATCCCAAGGGTATTTGAATTTCTTCTTTCTGTAATGAGAAGTGCATCTGAATCTCACCTAGTTTCTAATTTCTCTATCCTTAAGTAAGCTTAAGCATATTTCCACTTGGTATATCTGCTATAGAAAGCATAAAAGTATCAAATATAGAACACATTGGGGAAATGTGAATCCAAGAAACTATTTGGATGAAGATGGGAAGTTATTTAATCAGACCAGGTAAGTTCACAGTTGGTTCACTAACTGATGCTGGATTTCTTGGACATAAATCCATATGGTTATCAAACATTCAAGCTGTACTATTGATTACCTCCAGACTGTTGACATACTCTTTCAGAGGACTGAGTAAACCCATTAAGAAATGTAAGAAAACATAGACCTGTCAACTCTGAACTTGTTTGCCAGCAAAACTTCTAGATTAATTTCCAGCTTTTTATTTTGTACAGTAATCAGTCCTATTCAAGAGACCTGCTGTTAAACAGGAATATCACAGATGGCAACTGGTGCAAGTCAGCAGCTAAGATACTACCCAGCACACAGAATGGGCACCATGTGACTTGAAAAAAGTGTTGAAAAAGCTGCTGTGCAATGTTCTGCGGCTTGCTAATTGTTTTCTGAGATCAATTCAAACATTGATTTTAATCTTCAAAGCTCTGAGTGGCTTATGACCTGTCTTCATAAGGGACAGCCTGTCTCATTATGAACCTGTTCAATTATTAAGATCTCCTGAAGAAGCCTTTTTGAAGACTTTGCCATTTCAGAAGCCCTCATATCAGGCACACAGATATAATATATATTTCTTTCAGATCTACAACTGCCCCCCCCTACTGTCTTGAGTTTCTGACACAACTCTTGTTCAGTTTGTCCCATAAAATTATGAGGGCTTTAAACTGGGTGAAACATGGGGTTGTGCAGACTAATCTCATTCCATATATTTTCACATCTTGCTAATCCCTTATTCTCCTGGATGTCCATTCATTCATCTTGAAGGTTTAAAGGAAACATGTACTTTCATTCCTCTGAGTTCAGTTATGTGAGATCAAAAATCCTAATGAGGCAGGATATCAGATTTCTCAGCATTCTACTTGCATTTAAATAAATCCAAGACCTTCTTCAGGTCTACTTATATACTCCACTGTGGCTGGAGGCAACAAGTGGTGAGATGATGTCATGGTATGTGGGAATGACCTTGGGAGACTGGGCAAAGAGATGCTGCCTAGGGAATGGGCAGATAAGAGGGAGCATAGCCCACAGCTGCATAGTGAGCAGAGCAAGAGGCTCAGGAGGAACCCTCCCTAAGTTCTCAGGCTGTAAAGGTGATGGTGGGAGAACTGTACTTTCAGACTTGCAAAATTTTGTTACTGTAGCTTTACAATAAAGTAGAATTAGCCATGTTTCCTGTTTGGTCAACTTGGTAAGGCTGACAGATGGACAGACAGGGAGAGAATGTGCAATTCCATAATCTTCATGGCACTACTACCACATGTATTTTATTGGTATTTATTTATTAAATTTAAAGGCTGCAGAAGATGGCTTACAGTAAAAATGAGACACAGATACAAGGAAAGTATAAAAATAAAATAAAAATCTATTAAAAATAAATAAAATCTCTAGTTTCTAAAGGCCAGGCAAAAGGGGCGTGTCTTGACTACTCTTCTAAAGCAGAAAAGATGGGAGCCAAATACTATTTCTGAGGCAATGCATTCCACAGGGGACAGATCAATTTATATATTTCTGTTTCACTCGGATTCTCATTTTTCTGACCTTTAGTTTGTTTCAGCCTTTTTCAGTATTAATATGTAAATTCAGAAGAAAAAAAGTCTTGAATCAAAATCCAGACTCATTTTTGTATACATTTCTCTTAACATTTGCAGTTTCAGTATGTACTTTTTCTAATGTATGTAATTTTTGAAAATATTGTCCCTAATGTTATACTTTTGTAAATATTTCCCCATTATGTATTTAGTGAACATTTTTCCTAATACGTGCTTTTTATGAGCATTTTTGAATTGCATATGTTATTAAATTTTGAATAGTGAATATTTCAACACTCAAGCACTCAAACACTCCTTGAGGAACAAAAACTCATTCAGACTGAACTATTTTTTTTTATTCCTTTACATTTTCAGTTTAGCTTTCAAGTTAAGACTTAAATGGTAGGTTTTTA